CCAGCAATTGCTACAGATGGGCAAAGGCACACCAGGGTCCTGAGATACTGGCTGTGGCAACAGCTGGCTGCCACCAGCCCCCTTGGCCAGCAGGGGGGACAGGGGACATCTCAACAGGGTGTTTTAGCCCAGGTTAGGAAAGGCAACTGCCTGTATGGGCAGTGAGACTCCATGGGGCAGCACGAAGCCTGGCACTGTTCTGCCCTGCTGTGTCCACCGCATCCCTCCTGCCCTGGCTCCTGCCCACCCTCTCCTGGTTGCTGTGGTGCCCCTCACTGACCATTAAAGCTGAGCTGCGATCTCCTCAGTGCTGTCTGCTGATGACCCTGGTAGGGACTGTCCTCGGGGCCCTCGGGGGGTGAAAGGTGAGCCGAACTCGGAACAAATTAGTTCCAAGCAGAAGTTCAGCCAGTTACTCCAGATTGGATCCTTTGATTTCCGCAACTCAGACTCCACTCAGTGATCTGTAATGAGTGACTCTCAGAAATCCTCACATTGCAGCACTTTGTTCCTGTGCTCACAAGTCAGCCCATTAATGGGTAAAGGAAAGGACCTCGAGTCTAAGAAGTCTCGGGTTCAGAGTCAGAATTATTTGACTTTTAAGCTTCCTTTATCTGAACTCCTGCTGACTTCTTGTTTTCTGAGCCTGTTTGAAAGCTAGAAGTTACATTGTTAAGATCAAACATTCTCTCTTTCCAGATGGAGTTACAATATCTGTCTTTTATATATATATTTTAATATATATATAGTGTATATATACCAGGGTGTATATATATTCCTCTTTTTTTTTAATCGTTCTTTCCATTAAAAGAAACTAGACTTGTAGGCTCTTGTAAATTATAATGTAAAACATTTTTTTTAACCAGACAGTTCCCAGTTTTGCCCAAGGCAACTGGAATAGCTGTGCCACAGAAGGCAATAGGAAGGTGATTAATATGAATTTGTGACATATTTGAAAGATGGGTCTTTTGCCATATAAAGATTATCAAACACATGTGCTCTTCCCCATTAATTCTGCAGTCCTCCCAGGAAAGCCACAAAGCCCAGCTCCTTTGTTTCCAGGGTGGGTTTTTGTTTTTTTAAATGTACCTTTCGGTCCCCTTGATTACCATGTATTTGATTTTTATAGGGCATCTGTTCTCACTGCTGTGTGGGTTCTCTGGCCCTTTTATTTCCCTGTTAATCGGATCCCACGAAGGCAGCCGTGCCAGGGCCTCTGACGAAATCAGTGTGTGTGTTGTATTTAACTTTTAGCCGTGCAAATTCCATGCTCTGTTTGCTGTCTGCCCAGTGCCCAGTGGGAACTGGGGGCCGCCTTCTTGCCGGGGGAAGCAGCGGGGCCTCCCACCATACACACTGCTGCCCAGAGTGCACGCGGGACCAGCAGGGCTGGAGCAGTGGGGATGGGCAGGTCTGGCTCAGTTTGGGGAGCCCTATCCATCCCGGTTGCTTGCCAGGCAGGGCAGCAGCTCTGCTGGCCTTTCGGTACAGGGGATGGCTGCAGGGCTGTGGTCACTGTGGCTGTGCAGTGCGTGCTGCAGTGCTGGCTGCTACCTGCTGTGCGTTGTGCAGAGCCCACCTGAGCTCAGTGGGGAGCCAGGGGTGTCCTGGGGACCTGGTGGCTCTGATGTGCCTGGGACACCCTGCACAAAGAGCCTGGCTCTGGGTGCTGACCCCACTCTGGCCTTGGCCAGTGTCCATGCCATGCCTGGCACTTGGTGCAGTGATGTGATGTGGCGAGGGTAGCGGTCCCTGTTTGGGGTGGGTGAAGCCAGCTTGGCTTCAGATGCAGACAGATGAAATGGTGTCTGTGGAAGGGGAGGCTCACCCAAGCCTGCCAGTCACACTCAGGTGTATCAGTGCACGCTGCCCAGAAAAGGTGGGGTTTTTTTTAGGAGCTGTAACTCTGTCAGCCTCCTGATCTGCTCCTGGGCCACTTCACAGCAGATCTGGATGGCAGAGGAGCATTTCCAGGCTCTGCCCTGTCCCATGCTGAGCATCCCCCACGACCCCAGCTGGCCGTAGTGCAGAGTTGCTCTGTCCCTTCCTCAAGGCCCTGCTCCCGAGGGCCTGGGGTGTGTCAGCTTGCTTGGTCAGGGCTCCAGGAGCCACTGGATTGTTGCAGAGTTCAGCCCCTTTCTCCTGCTCACTCCTAGATCCTGAACCACAAAAGATGCTTGTCCCAAAGTCCATGCCATGTCAAGGGGGTGACATTCCCCCCTGCCCAAGGATGCTATCCCAGTCCTTCATCACTGCTGGATTAACTCTTCTTCCCGTCATGCGAGGACCTGGCTTGTCCCTTAGCTGGGCACAACATGGTCCACTGGGTACTGCCTGGGGTGATGCCAGAACCCCATGGCCAGCTCTGGGACAGACTCAGGACACACAGTCCTGTTTTCCGTGTGACCTGAGTGCTCCTACCTGCTGACTCTGGTTTTTCTTTTGTTTCCCATCTCTCCTGGAGCAGAGAAAGCAAAAGGGAGTCAGCCTCAGAGCTCCTCCTCTGACAAGAAGGTGAAGAAGCAGTGAGCCCCCTGTGCTGGGCGAGGAGGAGGTGCAGAGCTGTGTGCAGGGTCAGTGCTCTCCTGTCCCTAAGCCCTCAGGGACAGCTGGCTGCCTGCAGCCATGGGGCAGGATGGAGCTCTTGCTGGGGCAAACACTGCAGTGCTCCATGGAACAGCAGGAGCCATCCCCAACCCAGTGCCATGCATGGCTGTCCCACAGCCACTAGTATTAGCTGGGGTTTGTTGTGTTTGGTATGTTTTTTGTTGGTTTTTTTTTTTTCCAAATGCCAGATTTTTGTGAGCCTCCCTGTAAATATAGAACCTGTCACACTGGAGCAGAGTCGTCATTAGCCCCAGTGAGCCCGTGTGGAGCGGGAAGAGATGGTGAAGCTGTCTCATCTCACCTCTACTCCAAGCAGGCTGGGTGCCAGTGGCTCTCCAGGGGCCCCTGGTTCCTGCAGTCCATGTTTTTTCAGGGCCTTGGATGGGCTGATGCCAGCAATGGGAACTCAGGTTTGTGCCCTGCCCCTGCGGCACAGGTGGCCTCAGGATGAGTGTCCTGCTCCAGACCACTGCCCCCTCACCCACCCCATGTCCCCTCTGTGCTGCCTCTCAAGTGTAACTGGTGATCGATCCACCATGACAACGTCCTCTGAGTCACATTCTTGCCTGCATGAGTAAAGGGCAAAGGCCAAGTTCTTAGTTTTCATAGAAAACTAATTAGACAACTCCATTGAAAATAGGTCAATAAAGCTGATCAGGGGCTGCACAGAGGGAGCCATTAAAACCCTCGTGACCTTTGCTTGGAGCAAGTGTGCTGAGGCTGCCCCTTCCCTCCAGGAGCTGCCCACAATGTGCCAGCTGGACAGCTGCATCCTTGTAACCCAGCAGCACTGGGCAAGGTCCCATGGGCACCTGGACATGGTGCCTGTAGTGGAGATGCTCTAAGTGCATTAGCAGCTCTGTGGGTACAGCATGCCAGGCTGCAGGACAGAATTACAGATGCCAGTGGGACATGTTGGTGGCTGTCACTGCAGCTGGCAGGTTGTGCTGGGGTGCACACCTATGGGTGCAGCCCAGCTGGGATGGACTGGTGGCATCCTCGGGGCAGAGCCATCCTGTGGCACAAGCAAACCCGAGGTGGTGGGAGACTGCTGGGCCCACCCACACTGCCCAAGATGAGGGGTGGGGCAGTGCCCCCCACGGGGAGCTCAGATCTCTCTTCCACAGCCATAAAGCTTGCCCTTTTTGGGGAGCAGGGACATAAGGGGATGCCATACCCCAATGAGGGCAGCCCCACCACTGGGGCACCCTGTTCTATGTACCTGGGCGACACCCCCCCCCCACCTCTGCCCCTGCACACACTTGCACATGCATGGGCACAACCTGGGCTCCTTTACCCCCAAACTTTATTCATGTGGCACATTTACAGCAAGGATTGGAATAACTAGACAATGAAAATGCTGGGTTTGCATTATCGGTTGGTTTAACTGGAACACCACACACCATGCAGTCATGTACCGCCAAGTTCAGTGCCTGTATTGCCCTTCTGGCTGCCGTCACCGGCTTCACTCCAGGCCATGCACGCACGGGCCCGGGGCTGCAGCCTCCCTGCAGGTCAGTGCCCGGACAAGGGCTCCATTCAGCAGGGCCCCG